GTGATATTCGTGATCACCGCGAAATTCTCTATCGAATGGTGTATGAAGTGTCGAAAAATAAATTTCACTGCAAGGCTGCCCTGGGTGCATCTTATATCAGTAATCTTTTACTCAACAACAACAAGAAAAAGTAGAAAAAAGACAAAATTGATTGATTTTTTATAACAAAAAAAACCACAACAGAAGTGTTTATTACCATATTTACTCTAAATAACCAAAAATAAACTTCTAAATGGAGTTTAAGGTTACATGAGGTTTAGTATGGAATTTAGACTAAAAGTTCTTAAAAATCTGACAGAAAACAAGTCTTATCATCAATGTTTCTAGTTTTTGACAGAGATTCAAAGATTATAACAATGATGTTTACTATATATTCGACATCAACATGGTTGAGTATCTACGTAAATTTATATTCGTGTTCATAACTGACGTTGACATATGAGCAAAAATTATTTCTATACTAAAAGTTCCTATATTCAGAATGTGTTGCATTCTAATCATTTGAAAAAATCAAGTGAGCTGTTTCAGTAGACTGTATTGTGTTTTTTTGTTTTATCTCGTATAGAAAAGAATTAACTGAAAACTAACAACAATAAAAAAAGGATTTAAGAGTAGAAAAGAGCTGGTAAAATCCTCCAAATTAAAAAAAAGTATAAAATACAAACTATCGTCTATTCTTCTATTATAGTCTGATGTAGAAGAATCAAGTTGCTCATATTATTGCATAACATCAAAGACGTATTCAAGTCCAGTATTAAATAATGGATGAGTTTAATACTGAAATATAGGAAAGAAACATACAAAAAAATTTTCAATGAGAAAAGGCTTTCGATTTGAGAATATTCTGAGTATTTCATTTTAGTCGATAATAGTAACATTTTGGTAGTACTTCATAGAACTAAAAACGCGTTTATACTTATAATAATTAGACGAGAATAACCAACAATGGCAAAAGAACAGATACTGCTACTTACCTACAATTCATTGAGAATGCTATCTAATAAATTAGATGCCATTAAACTACACAGAACGTCAATATTAGCAGCACAATAAATTGTACTAAAATTGCATTGGTATTATGGACTGAGAGAAGATAAAAGTACCATGATCAACTCAGATGCACATTGTATATCATATAATCTATTAATATATAAAATAAAACTTTCGTTTGACGATCGTAAATATCACAGCATAGTCTCAATTAAGATTGAACTCGTTGAAGATATTTGAAAAATTCTTATTGAAGACTTTAGAATTAGTTTATTATCTTTTAATTGACTTTATATACTTTATATATATACTTTATATATATATTAGACTTTATATATTTCAGAGAACCAAAACATGTCCACAAGATTCTAAATTGATAATTACAATGTAGAATCGAAAGAGAAGGTTACAATAGGAAACGTTCGTTAGTTCGTGTCCACTTAAGAGTTTTTGAAGCTCGACATTGACTGAATAACAGGCTTGAATGAAAATAGTCTGAAATCATAACGTGCGTGTTTAATCAATAATAATAGTATAAATATGACATCTAGATCTAGCGAAGACTTGAATTAAAAAATAAAAAAGTAGTTTAGTAAAAAATTAGTAATACCAAATACTATCACCGTTATATGGTTAAGTATAAAAAAAGTCATTATAACGTTCCATTTATTGTCTTGCACAAACTTTAATGCCTTTTTGTACTTGTGGTCTACTGCCAATTGTTTCTATCCATTTTTCAACATTTGGAAATGATTTATCACCTAATTTATCTTTATGCCCTTTAAAAAATGCATTTACCCATGGCCATGTACACATATCAGCAATTGTATATTCTTGTCCACTTATAAATTTATTCGATGATAATTGTTTATCCAGAACTTCAAGTAAACGTTTTCCTTCATTTAAATATCGTTGTTTTGCATATGGAATGTCTTCTGGAGCAGCATTATAAAAATGATTTAGTTGACCAAACATTGGACCTACACCGCCCATTTGCCACATTATCCATTCGAGTGTAGTATAACGTTCAGGAGTATTTACTGGACTTAAATATTTACCATATTTATCAGCCAAATAAATAAGAATAGCACCACTTTCAAATACACAAATTTCTTTACCACCGGGTCCTTGACGATCAACGATCGCTGGAATTTTACTATTCGGATTTATTTGTTTATACCAATCCTCTAAAGCAGATAAATCACAATGACATTATGAAATGAATTATACTAAATGAGAAACTTACCAAATTGTACATTTTTTGAAATATCAATTAAATGTGCATCATATTCCACGCCAAATTCTTCTAATGCGATACCAATTTTTTGACCATTTGGTGTGGCCAGTGAATACAACTGAATTGGCTTAGAGCCAGATGGAGCAGACATTGTACGAGAAAAGATTAATAATGGACGTAATCTATTGAATAAAATACGCATATAGTCTATAGAAGTAAAATACGATGATAAATTACAGTTACAAATAAACAGGAAAGACTGTAACACACATCTGGTATTTCAATGCTTTTAAACTTTAAAGACGACGAAAATTTTACACCAACACTCCCATTTACTTTTATTTTTAGTCTCCAATGAATTTTACACGCAAACAATTGTATTTAATATATAAAAAAACAAAATGTTGTTTTTCTTATCAACTTCTACACGATGTTTTCGATAAAATGCTTTCCTTATAAAAAAGAATCAGATTCTCTAGCGTGTGCATTTATCTTTCGATTATTTCAGTCGCCTATAAACTCTTCTCTTGTAGATCACTTAATCTAATGTTCTATAGTGGTAAAAATCAACAAAATATTGTCGCTATGATAAATGTTTTCGTGAAAATTAATGCAAAGCGATCACTTTTATATCAACCGGACGTTGTTTTAAGTTAATATAAATCATCATTTTGTGACTCGAACAAATGAATCAAAATTTTCACCGGTAGTTGAAATAAATCGAATGTTCGAATCAAATTTTTCAAAAAAATAAACTGATATCGTTGTGCTTGTCATATTTAAAACAAATGCAACTTGTACAATTGATTGTACGAATACTTATTTTAAAGTGATTATGTACGTATATATCAATCCATTTAATATTTTGGCGTTTATTCGTATTGCTGTATCGGACGGCCTTGTATTCATATTATAAATGAATCTGGTACATTTCAAATCTGTATATACATCAAATTACGATTAAATATCATACGTTGATAAATGTCGAAGTAATACTGTTTTTCTTGTACATCTTCTAAAAGTTTCTGTATTCGATAAAAAAAAACAAGCAATGGACGTTGGTGTTGTTGGAAACGAATAAATATTTGTTCATAATGGATTGATTATCGACGAAGAGAATGAAAGATGGAAAAATGAAAATTGAATTTTAATAACAGATGAGTATATTCATGTAATATCGTACGATCTAAACATAAGTTACAATAAAATGAAAATTAATTTGCCTACAAAACTCACTGGTCTGATTTTTTTTCCTTTTCCCTTACTATTGTTGCCTGTTTAACTGTATACTGGCCTGTCCAGGCGTACCAACCAGAAACCGTAAGTCCGTAACATTTTATGGAAGTCATAGCTCTTCAGTTGAGCAACATACCGAGTTGGGAACGCCTCATTTTGTAGCTTAACGATTTTTCTTTCAAATGATAATTAAGTCTAGTTCTAATGCAAACACCTACCTATAATTCGAGCCAATAAGGCCCTGTTGTACGAAAGTACCATATCTGGCATATTCGTGATCGGATGATCGTGTAATGTTAAAAATAAATGTTCAACGTTTTTGTCAATATCATTTATGTGTTTTTTTGCATCTTCACTTATCGTTGCCAGTGTCTAAATAGTATACAACGTTGTCTTAAATCGTTTGATTGGATTTGGTATTGTATATAAAACTAATTTATATGTATCAATTGGATTCTAATCCACTATAAAATACCAGTGATGATGTTCAAGCCAGAATTTTGTTTTAAATGATGATAAGAGATGAACTAAATTTGACTTAGTAGTTTCACCGAGTTTTGTTAAGATAACACGACACTTGGAATTTTTTTCAAATATGGTTATGATGTTTGAATTGAATTTTCCCAACGTTTTCCATTCAAATATTCCGCATGCTAACAACAAAATCATAATTGTTAGAGTTGTGATAATTTCACTTAAGAGATTTTCGATAAGATGAAATGGTATATCTACAGTACGTGATGTTAAACTAGTTAAATTTGGAGCGAGAATACATCTGGTAAACTTTCATCTATTTCTAAACAGAGCAATCATAAGCGTGTCACACATATAGTTTCCTCTCAGAGTTGATCACCTGCATAATTTTTGGCAAAATAAAATGTACTCGCGCTGCAGTTTGCATGTTAGAAAAAAATCCTTTTGTTCTGCACAGGCAGGAACTAAAACTTCTGCACTGCTCTGCCCTGCAGGTGGACCCTAAGACGAGGTATAACAATTTTTTTTCGACTGACCACTACCAGTCTGTATTACACACTGATAGTTATAGACTTTATTATCAGTTACAATTCACTATTCTTGTTCTATCTTTTTCTCTTTCTATTATCATTAGAGCTCTACTATTTAGTGCTTTTTCTTTATCTCGCATACGACAACATTCGACCACATTTGTTAAAGCAGAATGAAAAAGGAAAAAGACTTTTTACCATGAGAATGAGTCATCACTTTAAAACGATCGTCTACACGAGTTGTTCTACTAAGGCTCTACCGTTTAGTGTATCTTTATCTGTTTCTTGATGTCGCATGCAGATTATGCTCTTCTTATATGACGTCGTTCCTTTCTGCAGAGCAATGCCATCAATCACTTCGTCCATCATATTTAATCTATAAAATGCCTTCCTTGCTTAAATTGTTCAATTTAGTATATAAAACAGAATGTATTATACTGCTAAGATCTCCCTCATTTCAAATGCTAAAGTCTAACTTCTTTTTTTCATTCTATTACTGAGACTTTCAGCTACACAATGGTGGAAGACGTTTGGAAAAAGTTCAAAAATGAGGTGAGAATAATAAAATTACTCCACTTGTAAAAGTAATTGCTGTATGGAAAGAAGTTTTATTTTCACTTCTACTTGGAATGATGATTCATCGAAGACATCAAAAAAGAGAGAAATATAGAAAAAATATTCTTTTCATTTTCTCGCATGGACAGATATATCTCGCATGCAGACTTCTGTATGTCACATAAGAAAAAGCACTAAATGGTAGAGCTCTATTATAGTCTTTTGTCATCTTCTTTGACTATACGTAATGCGCATAGTAAAAGAAACATGTTAAATACAAGAAGAGTGAAATTCATTGTTATTCTCTATTTTTCGTTTTAAAATATCTAGTAGACCTAGTACAAAAAAAACTATTAGTTAGTTTCTTTTTTTGGTCATTCTGATCTTCAGTGTGAACAATATTTCTCTTGGTCTTCTTTCTCTTTTTGTTCTCCACACAAAAACGTCTTTCCTTGCAGGGAATGCAGGAAAAATCTTCTCTGCTGCAGGGAGTGTAGACAGGAAACATTCATCTTTAGTTGCCGGCCGTCAGTGGAAAAATTTTTCATTCATCTGAAACCTACAACTTGCCTGCAGCTTTTAGTCGGTTTAAAATGCAGGTGATCAGATGTGGTTTGAACCGTTGGATTCTTTTCCATAGTACTATGCACATTCGAAATCTTCATGTAACATGGTTCAGGTATAGTAGAATTCTTCTGAAGATCCGTGGGGAGCAGTTTCAATAACTAAAGTATTTTCTGTGGATTTTTAAAATGTTTATGAACTAATAGTGCAGTGTAGAATAGGATATATCTTGATATTCTGAAGTTTTGCTTGGTTTTGATTGAATTATGAATGTTGCAATTTTTGGTGATAATAGGGATAAATAAGCTTTTCCACTCCATTTGATACAGGTTTTAAGTAGGTAATCGAAGTTTGATTTGAAAAGAAACATTCTCAAGAACCTATAGTCATAGAGTCATTTCTTTTGAAGGTTGACATTCACACTGAAAATCATTATCCACCTTTTTTTATTCAAATCTTCTTCAAAAAATATCTGCGACCATTCTGTTGTAGAATTTATTATAGTGAAAACTTGATCAATCGTAACTGTGTGCATTTAGTTATAATAAATGAATAAATAAAAAAAAAAAACCTAACTAAAGAGTTCTAGAACAAAAGATTATACTCAATTGGCGTATATCAGAAGAAAAACGCTTGGATGATGCTTCAATGATTTTGTGTTTTACGTAAATAAAGTCAACATTTTCCAGAGAAAACGATACTTTTCTTTTTCTTTCAGGGAATTGGCGAGTAGACCGCAAAATTTGACTTACAAAAGGAAGAAGAAAGCGAAAGCGCAAAAAGGTGATTAATCCCATTAATGTATAACCCCCTATGTGATCGAAAGAATGTAATTTTTTATAAGAGAGAATGCATGATCGTACTTAATAGGTATAAATCACGACACTTACGGACTTCATTTCTCCACTTTAACGTAACATTTCAGTAACTCAATCAGCGGTTCATATAAATTTATTTTAAGGTGAACGAGGTATATAGCTAAGTTGAGTAGCTAGATGAGTAGCTGATGTCATATAAAGGTAAACGATATCGTTTAAAAATAAATCGAACTGAGTAAATGTACAGGAGAGTGAAACAGACATCTAAGATCCTCAGTCTTGTATGTATTAACCAACACCAACATAATTCTTAGTTAAAGAGAATGCTTGAGGAAATTCGAAAGTCTAATGAATTGGTTTAAACTTTAATATAGAAGAAACAGTAATCAAATCGGGCTGTGCCCATTTCATGATACTGGGAAAGAGAAAGAGACAACAAAGATCCGACGAATTACTCTGTAAAGTAAAAAAACAGGGACCGAGCTGTGCACACCATGTATAACTCTTTTAACAGACAATCCCTGAAGTAAATATAAACATATTTACTCGTTCTCATTATCATTACTCTTTAGACAAAAGCTCATTGTCAAGTAATCTACTCTAGTGAAAGTTGTCTTTTGCATTTGTAGTCAAGATTTTGACTCGAAAAACTGTATTAAGATAATAAGAGATAAATGAAATGATAATTTGATCTATTATGCTATAGTCATTTAAATCAATAGTCAGTTGAATCGAAGGGTAAACCAAAAGATTTACAAATTCGGCAACGAGCTTTTAGAAAAGTTCGCCAGACCACAAATTTCTTTTAGTATTCCTTTTGCTTTTCTCATATATAGAAACAGCAATAACGATCACATTAAAAGTGACGAGTAAAATAGTATTAACATTATAAAAAAAAAGATCTTATTACTTCTGAACACGTTTCTTGCTCGTAATGCAACGATACTATAACCGTATTTTATATTTTATTTTTTTTTATCTGGATATCACAGATAAGTGTGAGATAAGTGTGAACGACAAGGAATCGAAGCACGATTTGGAATGTGTCAGAAAAAAACCCATAAAAAACTAAAAGATAAGCCAGAATGCAATAACTGAAAAGAGATGTAACAAGAAAAAATTTGACTGCATGAGTTAACATAATAAAAAGACTACAAATTTATAAATCAAATAAAAACATAAAGATTTTTACAAAACAATGGCAACAGAATCAAACAGCGAGACTGTTATTCTTTGTTCAGAAGAAATGATTGATAGAGCAACGATATATTTAACTAATCATTGATTCAATATTGAAATCTGCACGACTATCTATATATCTACAGTCTCCTATACTTGCACGATGTCGAGCTAATATATTAATTCCATAGTAATGAACAGTAGCAGCAGCAACAACAAATACATGAAAAAACTGATGACTTTGAAACTGAAACACAGAAATAAATAGTGCTTCAATCAGAACATCTGAAGCACGCACGCGCTCTACCAAGATGGCTGTTATGCGAAAGATATGTGTTACCACAAGAAATACTACTATCAATGGGAAATCTTTTTTAATTTCACCTCATTCATCATTCAATTGATTTTTTTTCGAGAAAGTCCATAGAGATGTATCCAATTTCCAATAATAAGATCTTTTATATTGACTTATTTGATGAAAGGGAACAGCGTAGTTGAAAAGATCATCGTACATACCCATATGTCGAAACGTCCAGGAAATAATCGTTCTGGTATTCGTGCTGTAAACAAAAATAAAAATATTATTTATTTTGCAACAGTATTGTTATTAAGTTTCTTACCAGCATAGAGTGAAGCTCCCGTAATGTATAATATAGCCATTAACACAAGCCATTGCAAAGCTCCAGCTATAATAAATTTAAATAAAAAGAACTGATTATTTATTACATCGTCACTACCTTACATCATATATTACTTGTGAATGCATGTTTGATACCAAACAATAAAGCATAATGAATTGTTGGTAAAAAGCCTGTGAGACCAAATCCAATGAACATCACTGGAAAAATTGTTGATAATATAAATAGGTAACACGTGAATACTAGATCAATCTTACATGCTCGATACGTTCTATAATCTGGTTGACTAAATTTATCCCACATTGATACAACAATGCATCCAATACCAAGTAGACCTATTAATACCAAATAGGCTACTTTTGTTCCAAATTCGCAATCTAGGAGAAAGAAAAAACTACATGGTAGATATAAACATGTTTGTGAAATGGTTCTACTCACAAAATGCATAATATAACCAAGGTACAAAACTGCCCATAACTAACATAGATATACCACAATAATCTAACCTAAACATAACATAACATATACAAGGCGTTTATGAATGCGATGAATAACAAAACCTTTCCAAAACGTTTATCGACGTGTCGGAGTGCTTTTACTTTCAAGTATACGGTTAGTGAATTTCGGTCGCTTGGCTCGTGCACGTTATGATCAGATAAGACTCTACTTAATGACACAACAAACTTGAACACTTACTTGCTAAAAAACTTGCTAACATTTGGTGAATAACAATAGAATGTATGAAACAATGTTGAACACAATAAACAAACAATAGCTCCAGTAAAAAATGCTCCAAATATCAATTTCTCTTCCCATTTTGTTCCGACTGATGGTACGGTTAGATAATATGTGGCTAGTACGATAAATACTACTGTTCCGATGAGATGCGTCCAAATATTAACTGTTTCTGTATGTAAACGAAATATCGATTTAAAACATTGCTTCACACTGGGCATGGGTGGTCGATGTGACGATAATAAATATTCGTTATCTCGCATCCATTGTGGTAAGTTGTGATGATCTAGTACATGCCAAATATATTTTGCAAATTGTTCGACTTGTTCAGCGCATTTTGTAGGTACTTCAAGAACATTATCGACAAGATCATCGGCTTTTGCACGTAAATTATTGTCAGTTTTAGAATCGACAGATGAACTTGTATTATTTTCATCTTTGAGTGTTGAATCACTCTAAAATGAAACAATAGACAATCAGCCCTAGAGATCAAATCTTATATACGATTCTTACAGGAATCTCATAGAATCAGATAAGAATCTTATCTACAGTCGATAGAAATGCATACTGTGCTTATAAAATTCTTATGTAAGAAACTTATAAGATTCCTATAAAAATTTATACGATTCTTATAGTCAAAAAGAAGAAAAAAACTTTTTTTTTGTTCTTGGAGAACGAGGGCAAAGTTTTGAAGTTTGAAATTTTTGAACATTTTTTATAAGGCACTATAAGATTATAAGAATCTTACAAGAAAATTATAAAACTAAAATCTTACCGAAATGTTATTCAATTCTTATCAGATTCTTATATTGTGAATTATAAGAATCTTATAATGACAGTATACATTTCTCTCGACTGGAGCATATAAGATTTTTATAAGATTCTTATCTGATTTCCGTATTTTCGGTTGTTTTTTGGAAACTAAGCATTATGCAGAAACAACTGAAATGTAAACTGAAACTTACCAACTTTCTTCGTTTTCTTAAATTTCGTTCATTTTCATATTGATATGAATCAGAATCACTTGTAGGTAATGTATCGGTAAATAAAGTATCTTTATCTCCAGCTACTTTTAATTTAGAGTCAGCGATTGTTGATGTTAATTTAGTGTTATCAGTAGTTGCATTAACAGAAGGCATAATAATACGAAATATAGAAAAAGCAACTCAAGTTAATTGCATTTAACTGAATAAACAGATAAACAAAGTACTTAAGACCGTATGAATAATGATGAAGATCTTGAAATAAATAGAAAACAGTAAGAAAGAACAAAATTGAAGAAATATTAGTTCGTCGTTAAGACAAACATGCATCAGATGCAAGGAGAACCGAGAAAAAAATAAAAAATAAGCAATACATAATCGTGGGTGTAAAAGGAAACAAGAAAAACGGACGACATAAGCAAAATATCCAAGAACTAGTAGAAGCTTTTCAGATTCGACGACTTGTGCATTACAATCAATTTTATAGAGAAAAACCTAAGAGAGAAAAGATGTAAAATCCGATTATTGTTTGAAGATTTAATGGGAATCTTCACTAATCAGAATATAAAGTCACAAGTATGGAAAGAAAATATATTCTTACTCTATGAAGGTATCATGCACTCGACTAAATATTAACTATAAGATAAACCATTTGCAAAAGAACAATTATTGAAAAAAATGTGTAATAATAGATGAGCGAACTTATAGAAATTATCAAAAATACTGTTTAGTTATATTCTTAAAATAAAGAAAAAATGTTCTATATTCACACACTTCATTATGATAAATGAAGCTCTTCTTATAATAACATGTACAATGAAACTACTATTGCCATTCAGAATAACTATAAGAGCCAACTATAAGACAATATAAGACACAATAATGTTCTTGTATCTAGTTTGCACAAAATATTTCTATCAGAGGCAATAAAAATAAATCAAATTCAAGCCATCGGGAGATTTTAGACAAGAATTCAGTATTCTATGTTTCTTACAGCATTCTTCCAATCATAAATCAAAGTCTCCTAGACATTGAACAAGTTTGAAACAAATAAAGTAGATTATAAATATTTTTACAAACAATTGGGCAGATATCTAGACTGATACTCTTATGGCATCCTTTCTTCTGATAAATACAATCCTTGAAGGAAGAAGCCCATGAAGCCATGACAGTCATCCTTCTTTAAAGAAGCGCTTCGGGTTGATTAAATTAAATCGGAAAGATAGATATTCCTCTTAGAGAAACGTTAGATAATGCAATGTATTCCTTTCTCAAAGGCAATAAAATAGTTTCTGTTAATTTACGACTAACAGTGTTTTGTAATGCCACGCTTTTCCCACTGAAATAGACTTAACAAAATTTAACATCTTAGAACAAAAGCAAACGCTAGTATTCAAAACAAAAGTATAAAAAATAGATATGATTAAACTCTGTCTTGCCCTAGTTGGACCGCTTCAATTTTCTAAGAATGTTAAGTGGAGAAAAAACAAACGGTAAAGGTTTAACATTTCTGTCTAACTACAGACAACATTTAAGGCTCCACTGTTGTCATTCCAAGTGCATTCGTTTGCTCTTTCAATTAGGGAATACTAATTGAGAGTTAAACCAGTTGCTAAATAAAAGCGCACAAAACACAAGAATGAGCAAATAAATGTTTACTCTCTCTTCGACACATCATTTCACGCGACACGTACTACCAAAAGTTCAATAAAAATTTTGGAACTAAGATTATTTTTCCATGGAAATTTTTTCGTCATTTTCGGAAATTTTTCCTAAACTTTTGACAATAAGTCTGGCTAAAAATACAAAATCTTCGAAGTTATCCAGTGTGCTGAATACGACGGAAAAGCACTTTTCCACGACTTAACTCTGCCTGCTCTTAATTCTACCTGCATGATAGATCACCTGACTGATCCAAGCGAACGGTTAAAGTATTGCGTAGAAGCACACTTTTTTCCGTGACACTGCTACATGTTTAACCATGATTTTCAAAGCAGTATTGTTAGTGTGTATACTAGTGAAGTCTCATGATACTATACAATGAATTCATCGATAACGATATCCTGGGACTAAATCCTATGACTAAGTTTTTTATGACGCAACTTCATTGGATGGAAGTTTTAGAATCAAACAAGGATTAAATGGGATTTCACTTTCTATTTTCACCTTTCTAGACCCTGCTTCAAGGACAGAGATATTCACTATTCTACATTGCAGAGGGCGCTGTTGTTGTGCGTATCTTGGCACTTGTAGCAGGGTCGAGAAAAATGAATAATCAAATGGTAAAATCACTCACTATTATAAGACGTATTTAATGCGATGCGAAGCAAGACCGTATTCTAATAATTTATAAACTTCGTCTTTCCTTTCTAGATCGAAAAAGTGTCATTTTCCGTAACGATTTTCTCGGGAACTAAAAGAGGTACAGTCAAATTTTAAACACAAATAGGGGAACTGTGTGTCGAAATTTATAAATAATGAAGATAAACAAGCAGTATGAAGATAAACAAAATATTTACCTCCGGTTATATGTAGCTGCTTTGCGCCGCATTTGCAACTCGCTGGCGTAATTGTCGGCTAATTTATGCTTGCCTTTTTACGTGCCGTGCCTCTTTTCCAAAGATGCTCATTATAAAAATATAACGAAATGAGTGAATTAATATTAAATCCGTTTTATTTATATTTACATTGGATATGTGTATTATATCCAATTATATATATAAAATAACGAAAAGTATCAAATTCGGTCGAGATATTCTACAACCACCCGTTACTTTCTATTAGTTTCAGGTTGACGATATGATAGTGACTAATAGTAGTTCTAGAAATTTTAGTTGTAGAATATCTTGATCATATTGTTTTCTGTGACTATAAGATAAAGTAAAAAACCATATCAGTCAATAGCCATTGATTAACTATTGCGCTCAGACTTTTCAGATATTGTGGCGCTATAGTGCATGTTTTTAAAGTAAATGTTAAATAGTAGGCCGTTATGGACAACTAGTGAATGTACTTGATTCAAGTACCTGATCAATTGCCGAGTACTTGACAAGTTTCCTCACTTACTAAGCAAGAGCTTTGACAAGTGTTTTTACGTCCCAAGTTCTTGTCTAAGTATTCGCCAAGTATAGTCATATGCTTCGCTTCAGCCAAGTACATGGACAAGTCAATCACTGATCACTGACGATTAGATAATAATTTGATAAAATAAAAAGAAACGGATTACGGTAGAAGCATGACTATTACAGGAGAAACATTAATTTCGTTTTTTCCAACTACCGTGAAAATTGTGATAGACTCGCGCTTCTGGATCGTTTACATTTTTCGATCCCATATCCAGATGTATACCGGGTGAGAATGCTGCTAGGGGTAAAACATAAATATCTCCTATCAAAATCCCTTTTCTCAGATTTCTAAATTTTTTCCATGTAACACCGTATGTTCTTCTAATATAATTCATGACCACATCTGTCCAAATTCCCGGTCCTGTCCACTCTAAGATTAAATCATTATTATCCTTCGACTTCATCATTTCTGAAGATATTTTAGCAATATTCCTAACAATCCGGTATAAAACTGGGTGTCCTGGCGCACTTGCTATAGTCCATTGTAGTAACTGAAGTCGACGAGCATACATGTCATACAAAATATCGATGAAACCAACATCAGCCTCTATGCCAACTATAAGTCCAACTTGATTTTTATCATCAATCCAATCATCAATCGGGCGTAAACATTTCGTATCGATATCAGAATAAACTCCTCCCATGACCAGTAGGGCAATATATCGAAAATAATCTGCTTTTAGAATAGGTAGTGGAAGATTTGTGTAAATTTGATAGATGTTCGCAGGCATATATTTACGAACAAATTCATCGGCTTCTGTATCATTATAAAGAAAATACTTGTGATTAGGATTTATTGTTATGAACGTAGACATAAATTCAGTTATTTGATGAGTTTTTGAAGTTTGAATAATAATTCGCGGAATTTCAGGAACGTAAATGGGCACATTTGGCCATAAAGTGTTATCATTTATTAAATCAAGACTATTCAAAAGTTCTTCATAAAAGAAATTGATGATAAACAATAGAACAACAATCAATAATATAAATTTAATCAATCGAAAACAAGAGATGCTCTTTCTCTTTTTCAATAGCATACTTCAGAAGGGATGTGTGATATGACAAGTGACGCCTAACTGCACGAACAGTGTTTATTGAAGCGGAACAATAACAATCATATATATATATATCCATCAATGTATCCATTAAGCCAGAGACGTTGGATAAAACTAAAGCTATTTCACTAGTTCTAGTATATAGATTTTATTAGATAGGTGATAATTATTTTATCCTATCTTATTAATATAATCGAATTATACGTTGTTACGTTCATCCAAACTTTGCTTGTACTTGGTCGTTCGAAGATATTCGATAAAAATAGAAAAAAAGAACAAGAAAATTGAGCGCAAAATTAAGTGTAACAAACCTAATTATTTAATTATTGTAGTATAGTCTAGCACTAGTAGACTTATCTGAATTTTACTGTGAGTAATAGACTTCGTCCTTATCTTAAGTATGTGTATAACTTAACCAGTTTAAGTTAAAATAAATCAACAACGATGATAGAAGAAATAACAATTTTAAGAGTGATGTAGTACAAGTTTGTCAACAAGATAGCACAAAAACATTTATGACTTATCGGATATAATTAGTTTCGATTTAAGAATAAAATGGATAAAAAAACATTGTTACGTAATTCTTGCTTGTAGATATTACCATAAAAACTTCTTGTCTAACACGGAAAAACATAACTGAGTTTTAGATTGACATATTTCTTCCAAAGTTTGCTTGTCGCTCGAAGATGTTCAATAGAATAGAAAAAATTTAAAACGAAAATAAGTTGAAGCGTGAAATTAAATCTCATTTAAAGTGTACATTAAAAAGTTACAGTTTATCTAAAATGTTTTTCTGATATTCTATTTTCATTTTCACGATGTACAACTAAATGTTACCGTAAAAGGTAACAAGATAAAAAATACTGGAAATTTTCAAAAGGATTATTATCATATACTAAGGAAATATACGCATACCATTATTCATTATAATAAAAAAACAAAGCAAATTTCACTGTATGATAAAACTTCATTGTTGAGTTTAAAGAGGATAACCACTGTTAATGCTACGACTTTTTGTCGACATAAATATTGGATGATAGAGTAGCTACATATTGTTGTTTTGGATCAGATGATTGAGAATTCGGTAATGAAGAGTATAGAAATGATAATGATTTTAGATAATCTTAACAAAAAAACAATTACAAATTTTTTTACATCTAAGATATTATCTAATGTTTTATAGAGAGATCTGTTTATCTGAACTTTACAGAAATGACTTAACGATGTAATGGATAAAGAACAATTTCTTATTCTATGATCAATGAACATGTAGAAAAGATACTTACTACTTTGTTATTGGTGATGTTGTGGAGATGATTGATTTAAACGATGATGAGCAGAGTGAATATAAATTATTTTGATTTCCTTGGAGCGAGACATGGCTGAAGAACGAGATTGAGGTGGTTGTTGTTATTGTTTATTTGTTTCTGGTTGATTTTGTAATGAACGTGATACAGGACACAAATAAGATGAAAACGTCGATGAATTGGAAAATGAGGGTAATCGAGACGGATGATTATTCGTCGATATATATGATGACGATGGATGCGTCGTAACAGTTGGACTTGGAGAACCTAAAGCAGTTCAAATTGATAACAAACTCATTATGTAAAGTAAATATAAAACAATCTTTAATATTTAGCTGTTCTACTGATGTGTAAAGAGAAAACATACGTGTATGAATAGTTGATGTCTTCACTGTCATTGATGTTGGTGATTTTGAAATATTTTTGGAATAAGTTGAAGGACTTGAATAAATTTGCTGCAGATGTAGTTGATTTTGATGATTCACGGAAGAATTGAGTGATGGACTGCGTGATCGTTTTAACGTTGGAGGAGTTGACGATTGCTGTTGTGGAGTTTGGTGTAATGAAGGTAACAGCTGAGATGATTTATAGGCAAGTGAACGATAAGCCGATGGTTGAGTAAGAAAATGTAAATATTGAGCTGTTTGAAGATCTAAATACAAGAGACAAATATAAATATAAAATATTTGATCTGAAAAAGTCAAATATACTTGGTGAATATAGACTTGTCCAACTTGGTTCTTTATTCACTGTTTGTTGTGATTGTCTACGTTTATAATCTTCTTCAGTCAAGGTCTTTTTCAATAAATTACACAAACCATATCTCTGGCTTTGTAAATCGTCTAATTTTGCTTCTAACTGTAGAATATGTTCAGCATTTTTCTCTAACTGAGCTTTACTTGTTAGCTCAGCTTTAGCCTGAAAACAAATAAAAATAATTAGATCAACACTGAAAAATACATTCAGACACAAATCACTTTTTCTTCTCGTCTTCGTTGTTTGTCAGCTTCATTTGCTTGTTCTTCTTGTTTTTTTTGTCTTTCACGTACAACATGTCGACGTAATGCATCGCGCATTTCATCGAATAATACTAGACGCTCAATAATTAAGGCGGGCATATTTAATCGTAGAAGTTGGAGAAAAAACAGTATTAGCCTAGGTCTAAATTTAAATTCTGAGTAATTTTATAATTAATGATATAATTGAGTTTTTAGAATTTACGTCAGTATATCAGTTTCAACAATTCCTACAAGTTTTCTAAAATAAAAATTCGAAAGTTTGTTTGTTTAACTATTTCTTCGTACAAATTTATTATTTTCATGAACATAAAAGAAAAATTAGTTTAGAAATAAAGACCACTTTTTTATTTATTATCTTGCACAGAAATCGTATTTCAATTAGAAAAACACCGAATGATTTAATTCTTCTCTCGTTTAAAACTATGTGTTAAAAAAGAAAACGACAATAACATTAATAAAAAATAGCGTAACAATAGAAAAGATATATACATATCATAGACACACACACACACACTCACGTATAGATATGCCACGATCAGTTTGCATTTATTTTTTTTACAAAAGTCAGATAAAAGTATAATAGAAAAATATAGCTCAACCTGAATCTTGACGGAAGCACAAAAGTCAAATTTCACAGCAGAATACGCCGTAAATTAGTATTTTGATTGTCTAATGTTAATAAGTAATCTTCTTATTCCTTATTGATGAATACATTTAACTAAACATGTTTGTAAAGTATATTTCAATCATTTAAAAGGCTAAAATAGAGTTTAAAATGGCTATTCGAGTATAAAGTATTACGATGTAGTCAACATAAGATACTAATCGTGCGAAATTATCCGTTCGCGACTATAAAATCATTACGTCAGCATTTATTTTTCTCATCGATGTAAATTGTCTATTTTTGTTAGTACACATGCGTGTTAATGATGAAGACATACATACAGCAATAAATTTTTATGCAAACGTAGTATACAGGTAGATATAGGCATAAAAATCAAGTTCCTACTTTATTAAATTATAGAGACGAATAAAAGCACCATTCACCGAAAACCTAAAAGTAAGAATAAAAAAACTTACCATCCAAAATCCATGAATATAATCATAGAATTGAGGCAAAATCGCTCGTATACTTGAATCGATTAAATCTTTCAAATAACTGACTGCTTTCTCATCGTCAAGATCAAGACGAAATTTATCAAGGAGCTAAAATTAGATTAATCGATATATTGAAAAAAATTGACATGCTTAAATGATGGCGTGTTTAGCTACTACAGAATGTAAAATAAAAAAGGTTATTAGCTTAGAATCTATCAATCTAAGATAAAACGTCAATATACGATCATAGTGAGAGTATAGATTTATAATATTCGAAAAAAAAAGATTTAGGAATGAGTAGATGAACTGCAGTCTATTGATATTACAATCATTGCTAATACTGGAAGATATGTGTTAACAATTTCCTTCTTTAAATCTTTGGCTACTAGAGGTCTACTAGGGGCCAAACTGTTTTGGTTGGTCAAAAAAAATTTTAGTTCTGGCCTGGTCGCGTGGAAAGAACTCGTTTTTGGTCCCGGTCCCGTCAATATTTTTCCAAAGTAGCGTTGATAGTTTGGAAGTCAGCACGTTGTAATGGGATTCGTGGGATAGCATGCGTGGGTGGTATTAAATGAAGACTTTTCGAATTTTCTATGAATTCTTTCTTACAGAACTGTTGTCTACCTACAAATAAGCACAGAAACTAAGAAATTTTTATGCTCCATACAAGACTATTTTCAAAAAAAGCTAGTCCCAGTCGCATTACAAGTCCGGGATCATTACGCAGATCTATGGTTCCCGGTCCCGCAGACCTCTGTTGGCTGCCGGTGTCCTATATATAGGACGGCGGTCTTCGCTTTGTTTACCGGTGTCCTATTAAAATAATGTCTTGAAAATTTCAGATTTTGACAGTGACACGTGGTAGACAAAACACTAACTGTAGAGAGTTGCGTGAGCGCAAAATCTGAAATTTTCACGGCATCATTTTAATAGGACCCTGGTAAGCAAAGCAAAGACACCAGTAGCCAAAGAGTTAAATTTTCTAATAAGTGGCATTTCATCCTTGATGTGTTTCAAAAAACTTAAGTATGTACGTTGTGTGAGCCCATATTCGATCAATATTGAATAGAGAATAATTCATACAATAGTCATGTAAAAGATAGCCTCTATTACCGGGATAAACTTATTGCCATGGATGTACGAGAAAAGTATGAACTAGGATGATAGATAGGCTAAACACACTAACGGATGATCACACTCCTAGTTAACTACTGCATGTGAAAACTAAATAACAATATCTTCGTCTGAGTGATTAAGTGTCTGCTACGATTATTGTCGTTAGTGTAAGAGTAATAGTGGGTAAATATGGTTACCAAACTTACATATCTTGTTCTACGCCACAGATTCACAAAACATCTTCAGTAAGAGAGCAAGGGTTTCAAATCGAATTGCTTTAACCTTATGGTTTTCTTAGAAAAGTAATAATTATTGAAGAGTAGTAGAAGATTCTCACTTTTTTCACTGTTTTATCTCGTTCCAAAGCAATAGCTGGAATATTTGAGTCTAACATTAACGCAAATAAATTAGCAAACACATTTGCATGTCTAAAAAAATAAAAGAACAGTTAGATGCATAATGTAACGTTTTCTCGTGACATACTTTCTTAATATGATAAATGCTGCAAAACAATGTTGTTGAAAATCAAAGAATTGTTCTTTATCTAATAATTCAATCATATCTTTTGATACTCGCATAGCTGGAGGCAACGGTTTTGGATCACGACCCATTATAAAACTAAAATCAATATGAAATAATTGTCCTATAATGGTAAAATTCATCTATGTCAGTGGCAAAAATAGAAGAAGAATATACATATTCAACCTACCAGTATCTCTCAATAATAAATTATCTAAATGCCTATCACCGACACCAAGTAAATAGGTAACAACACAATATCCAGCTAAAAAAGAAAGCAAAGAATACATATGGACGGCGAACAGAATTGATAACTAGTTTTACCACAACTTCTGACGTAAGAATCCATCACTTCTTTCGGTACAGTTACATCATTTTCTCCCAAAGTCCCATCCGTCATTTCATTTGTTGCGAAAATACCAACAGTTTTTTGTAAATATTGTTTTATCGATTTATTATATTCTAATACATGGTGTAACGATTGTGATTCGATAAATTGCACAAATCCTGGGAAAACAAGGAATAAATTAAACAATTCGGTGTGGCCAGCTAACTCTGTTACCGTAACAGAATTCCGTAACGGTTTTTCATCAGTTTATTTTTCCTAGGATGCCTAAACTGACTGTCGTAGAGTGTCGCGGGATATCTTAAATTGAAGATAAAAGTCTGGTTACCATTTTAAGACGTTTCTCAGACTTACAACATATATTGTTAACGAGCTGCAGCCTAAACACTGAACACTAGTTTTGCAAAATTTAAATTCGAAGAAATGAAAAACTAATGTTCAATGTTTAGGCTGCAGCTCGTTAACAATATATGTTGTAAGTCTGAGAAACGTCTTAAAATGGTAACCAGACTTTTATCTTCAATTTAAGACATCCCGCGACACTCTACGACAGTCAGTTTAGGCATCCTAGGAAAAATAAACTGATGAAAAACCGTTACGGAATTCTGTTACGGTAACAGAGTTAGCTGGCCACACCGGATTGTAAAAAGAACAATTTGAGAAATATAATAGATTCTAATTTATCTAATGAAAAAAAGTTTTGGACTTTTCTCTACGTTGTACTAACTACACATTTTCCCCAAAATAATTAATCATTTCACCAGTTTGAAGGTTACTAGTTTTATTTTCTCTATCGCTCATGGCATAGGATCGATGGGAGATCAAAACATACCATATCTAATACTTGTTGAAAGAACTTTGTATGGTGTCATTCGTAAATCAATATTTTCTTTACGTAAGATCTGAAATGACAGAGATCAGTTTTGTTTGACAAAAATTTCTTTCTATTTACTCTATCCATGAGTGTTATAGTTTGTAATATCAACTGATCTTGTCTTAAATCATCTCCATTTTTAAATATAACAGGATATTCTTCACCATTGATAGTTTCACAAACAAATAAAAATGGTAATTTTGCACTCTAAATATAGTTGATATGAAAATAATTGAATATTAATACGTAGAAGATCAATTATACTTTGAATATTTTGATTTTTTCTGGTATAATTCGTTTGATTGTTACTTCTGGATCAAGTGGTAATGGTATTGGATCGAATTGAAGAAAATTAAATTTTACAGGAGAATCTTCACCGGCTGATATTAATGTTTTTAATTTTTCTTCCTAGACAAAATTATACATATACTCAACAAATTAATATACTAATGAAATTCTAGTTAATTTTTTACCTTCGTTTTAACGGATCCTGGTACCCTTTTAACAATATTTGTTAATTCAACTAATTTATCAACAAAACGTTTTTGAGCTTCAATTGATAATTGTACTTTTTGAGTTAAATCATTTTTCTAGATACAAAAATTTAAGATTATTTATTTACATAATATAGGATATAATTACAAAACATACGGATTTTAATGTAATACTCAAACGTTCAACAAATGCTTGATACATATCACTAATTGTTTTATCTTTTGTTTGGATACTATTATTTTCACATTCAACATAAGCATACCTATTAAAAATAAAAACTTATGATAAGATCAGAGTGATGAAAAGGAAATTCTTTATCATACCAAAATAAATAATTAGCTATAATTGGTTTATCACATGCACGTTGAATTAGAAATGTAGATAAATCAATCTGAAAAGTAAAAAGGATGAAATGTCACTAAAATAAAATAGACTATCTTTTTTATACATACCTCTTGACTAGGAGAATCTGACTGAACAACAATAGCACAATTTTCATTTGTATCATTTCTATTAGAACGAAAGGAAGAGAGAAAGACTTTAACATTCTTTACTTGACAAAGTTGAGAAGAGATCTACTAGAATTTCATGGATTAGTTATGAGACATTTTGTATTTTTCGAAATGTGTCGAAAAATGAAATAAAAAATTTTTATGGTCCACTAAACCCTGACACATACATAGTTTCTTCATCGTTAGACGTATCCACGACATATGCATTTATTAGATCAGGTTTTTCATAACGAAGTGCTTGAACTAATTGTAATAAATACAGAAGTAAGTCCTATAGAAAAAGAGATGAAAGAAATATTTTTTATTCAATTTAGTTTCTTGCTTTACTTACATCATCTGAGGCTGATTTTAATCTCGATACGGCGTATATTCTAACTTTTGGATGAGGATAGAGTGGTCCTAATAATTCTAGAGCATCTTCAGTATCCATGGCCACCCATTGTTGTAATAAATCAAGAGCTTGTTTTACTTCTTCTTCTTTATCCCAATGAACACATTGTAAAAATTTAGGTGATGCCTAAACAATTAATACGAATAACAGTTATTAATATGCGATTTACGTATGTAATATACAATATACCTTTTTATGTGTCGATAAGTAAAAACGATATTTCCACATAAGATCTTGTTCTTCCATAGTCAGATATTGACCAGGTGGATAGGCTAAAATTGTCTAAACAGGAAATTAATCAATAAATGGTTTTTATAAGAAACAAGATCCGAGTATATTTACTATTAAGCGATCTTGTTGTTCTGGTGTGGGTTTGAGATCTTTATCCATTGTTCTTCCACTTCTTGCTAGATTTAAATGTTTACTTTCAACAATGTTCTCCTAAAACAATAATACATTAAAAAATGTTCCTAGATAGTGTAAGTACAAACAAACGTACAATATCTAATTCAGAATCATAAACAAAAAGATCATTATAGCCCAAAGGATAATTAACGATATCTACACAATTCTAAATGAGCAAGATAACTTGATTTATTCCAGAGATAAAAAAAACTCATTCTACTTCAAATCTGATACAAAGATTACTATTTTTTTTTGCTTTAAATATACATACTGGTTCAAAATAGAGTATGGTACATTCATTTTCACCAATCATTGTTCTTGCAAATTCGATCGTTAATAGCATTGATTTTGATTTTGGTAATTGTTCTTTAGTAGAGTGTTGTGCTTTTGTCAAAACTAATTTTTCTAGCCAATCTTGACTTATTGTATGTCCATCACCATGTGTTTTAACTAGCTGATCAAAACAAAACAATAAAAAATAATATTTGTTAGAGAAACATTTTGAAAATTTTTTACTTTTGCTAGTCTACTGAGTTGATCGAGCATCGGATATTCTGATTCATCATTGCTTGTAATTTTTGGAGGGTTCACTTTGTGTTGTTGTTGGGTGTGTTTATTCAGATTTGTGTTATTGCTTAGAATTTGTTCGTTGTGATCATTGTGTACACGTTCGATACTTCCCGGCGTTGAAGATTCATAATTTACATCTGGAACAACATCTGGCCACACTTTTAAATCATGAATTCCTCGACGAAATGTACTAAAACAAAGTGAAAACATAAGACTATGACACTGCTCTTTATTCATAAAAATAACAATTGTTAACTCTGCAAGTTATCGAAATTTTTCAGTGATTATATCTTCATTATAAAGTTATAAGTTTCAATTTTGACTAGCTCAGTATTAAGAATTTTTCTTTGGATAAATCAATGCATATCACATCACTTACCCATCATGTGCAAACAGAGAAATGGTTGTACTTCCAACAAGGGTTACTTGAGTTGGCGATAAAACATCGTGAATTGTAAATGTGAGAAGTGAATGTCGAGGTAAATCACAGTAACGTAAAGGTAATGTTAGCCATTCATTCCAGCTAAAATGCAAGAATTGTACAAAGGTCAATTCGAAAGGGTTGCAATTTGTACATTTTTTTCCACTTACTTCCATTTATCTGAAAATGTTTTGTATGATGTTTGAACGGGTAAACACAACGGTTGTTGATCGGAAAATATTTGACATAAAACGTATGGCTGATTACATTTAGAATCATTTTGATTTTGAACTAATGAATGACTGGTAAAGACATCATGAATATTTTGTTGTGGATATTCGTCTTCAAGCGAACCACTAAATAAAAAACAGTAAAATAGCACAAGTAAGACGGAATAAGTCGTGTTTACATTCTGATTTGTATTTGATCCTCTAATTCATGACTAAATATACAATGAAATTTTTCTGATGACATCATATATCAAACATCTGAAAGAATAAAAGTAAACAGTTTTCGCCATGTAGAAAAGATCTTAACTTATCTCTTATTATTCGTATTCAGTGTCGTTAATCGCGGGAGCGTGTGTATTCCTCGCATAGTGAAAGAAGTTATGTTCTTCATTCTATTTCGGACAAGTTTCTTTTTAGCGATTTCACACTACTAAGGAGAGAAATCCATTTTTATACCTTCTAATATTCGTCTCTTTGTGCGACCCTGTTTTTATTGTTAGTTCTCTGGCAAAGTTGTAACGGTTATTTTTTTGATTTTCTTTTCATTTGTGCTATTAAAAGAAAACAAACAAATTTTTATGTCGATTTTTCATGTAAAAGTCAACTCTACATTCATAGTGCCTATCGTCTTTTTCGAACAGAAGTAGCTAAAACCAACAAGTCATACCCTAATCGAGACTCCCGGCAAAACTCTCACGGGACTCCTGTCATGGGATCCTGCAAGAGTCAGATGGGACTTTTCGGGGATTTCTCAAGACTCCTGACGACTCCTGTGAAACTTTCGAGTCCTGCGGGAGTCCAACGAAAGTCCTCAGAATTCTCAAAGTCCCATGGGAGTCCTCAGGAGTCCTGAGAAATCCCTTGAAAGTCCCACCTGATTCCTGCAGGACCCCGTGACAGGAGTCCCGTGGGAGTTGTACCGGGAGTCTCGACTAGAGTACTACGATCGGGTATACATTTGCAGCACGATGAAGAAGTGTTTATTGCATATACTCTTCATCCAAGAGCGTTCGTATTGAACTTGATGTATCTATGAAATAAATCAAAGTGAAAGATGTTTTTAAGGGAAAACGTTGATATGATGCTGATAGCCAAAATAGTTTATCGATAAAGATCTTATCAATAGCAGACAAGTTAAGTCCGAATGCTGGTACGAGAGAAATTTAACTCAAAGCTAACTAAAGTTCTCGACATGCATTAACTCTGAATAGAAGATAACTCTCCAATGAAAATCTAGACAAAGACCCTCATATCAACGAACAATGAGAATAATTAGTGATGATTATATAAAAACATATTTGTTTTTCACACCAGCCACAATTAATAAATGTTGTTTTACTACATTTTAAAACGTAGTAAGAAATAGTGATGGAAGGTTGTACTTCTCTGTGATTATAATTGACATCTAGCACTACGACAGAAAAACTTCTCAGTCTTTTCATACCGTGTTTTGATTGAGTTATACAATTTTTAATAATTTATGTTATGCGCTGTATGGGCAAAATAAAAACATTCATAACTTTTGAAAGAAGCAATAAGAACCCAAATCCTTTTAGGATTTTTACCAGGACAGTATATAGTATCTACAGACAAAAGATCATTCGGCGTCGGATATCTGGAGAGGTTCAGTCGTTAGTATTATCGTGAAATTTTGTGTCTCGATAGCCGTTTTTTGTCTTTTGGAGAAAGAGTATTTATTAGATTTATTAGATGATAGTTTCTGAACCTTTTTAATCGACAAATAGCCTAATCAAAAAATATTAGAAACCATGAGATAACATCAAAACATAACAATAATGACTAATTAGCAATTTATCATTCTTTTATTTCTAGAACACTACAGTAACTGAATAACCGATCAGTTAACCGTCAGTTTTTTATAACCGACACATGCCTATGTAACTCGAGAAATTGCAGGACATAACACAGATGATCAGAAGAACATACGGCATACTCCATCCACTAAGGGACAAATACCAGATATTAAATTCATTCGTTAAGTCAAGATGTAGATTAGTGTGTACTTTTTTCTGATTTTAGTTTTTTGGTTGTCGGTTGACCGAAACCGGTACAGATAAAATGAGATGTTTCTTTCACAATAGTAAATAGATGTTATGGTTATGTGCCAACTCTTTATATCATTTTAAAATCGTAAACAAAAATGTTTAGGATTTTTTCGATGTCAATTAACCGACACTGATGCATACCTAGTCTCAGATCCTGTCAAGAAATTCATCGAGATTTTACTAGGGTCAGGGGCCTGTTTCTTAAAAAAACTTAAGTAGAAAATATTACTTAAGTCAAAAAAGACAAAGACTTTTTTGGACTTAAGTTTGACTTAAGTAAGATTTTCTACTTAAGTTTTTTTAAGAAACAGGCCCCAGGACTCCATTTTAGAGTCTCTGCTGCTCTTGATATTTATAAGTGATCTGTAAATCGATAAAATTGAGGAGTGGTGCCAACCGAATCTCATGTCCCTAAACTATTCTAAATGCGCGTAGATTTCCTTCAAAAATAGCTCTTTCAACAAAGATCGTTGATCTAACACATCCATTTAAAGCTCACAGATGTTTATAGTCCATTACATTCTTGGCAGTTGCAGGCGTTTTAAATCTTCATCAGGTTTTAGTACTCACTCTTGCACTTAGCCTTACAATTGTATTTGAATTTAACTTTACCGTCTTTTATACTGTTTTTTATTTCAGATAATAAAGACTTTAAAAGTCACTACCTAAAGCACAACTGCACTTCAAAAACGCGTTTTATTTGACTCAAAGGCATCTAGATGCATTTTAGTGAACGCGTTGGGGAAAGCGTACTGTTTGCTTTACATAATGCTTAAAACGCGTTGTTTCTGCACGCAAACAACAAACGCGCTTAGACATATCAACATAATTTTATAACATTTTAGACATATTACAATACATTGACAATACTGGAATGCGTCCTAAGGTCAATAAAAATATGTCTTTATGGGTCAAAGTTTGTTAAACGTCATTTCTGCATCCACACGCGTATCACAATGCTGAGAAAGTTTTGAAAATTTTCTAGACGAATTGTGAACACCTTGTAAAACATTTTGTCGATGCAGAAACGATGTTTTAATAAACATTAACACATAAAAGGCATATTTTTTGATCTTTCGATGCGTTCCAGTGGTGTTATTTTAGTCCATAAACGCGCTTTTAAGCTCGAAAGATAATGTTAAAAAGCGTTAGTTAATTCCAAAGCCCGTTATGAGAATTTCGGGTGTAATTTTAATGTATTATAACACGTCTAAAAGTTTAAGTTGTCTTTTGCAGCGTAGCTTCACTGCTATTCAAGCAATAATCTAGAAATTCCTCGACGATTTTCCAGATAACTGGAACTTAATTCTATTTTTCGACTTTTGAAAAGACCATATATAGAATCGCCGAGGAATTTCGAGATTGAAAATTGCTAAGCATTTTTCATAATTCTAGAAAATCGAACTGTTTCTTGTAAATTCAATTTTCTAGAATCTTGAAAATCCTCAAGGAATTTATATATGGGCTTTTTGAAAAGCGCCGAGCATTTTCTATAAACGCCAGAATAGTATGCAGATTGAACAGTATCGAAAGAACGTGTAGTTTCTTCTATTCTCTACCGTACTGCTGTTAACCTTGCCACAAACAATTCTTTTAAGCGAGCATTGCGCACTCACCTGTCCATATCAGTACGTTGTTCATGTTCTTATTTTTGGCTACTTTCTCTCCTATACTCTCTTCTCGCTCTCATTTCTTTTTCATGTAATAAAGAGACATTGTACAGTATACAAAACAAACTGTGTCTACCTTCCATTCTGAGACTAGTGGTATTGAACAAATTCTTATTTAGGTTAAACCAATTAATGAAAATCCATGTTTGGGTTAAAAAACGCCGAAAACATAAAGAAAAACGCTAAAAAACATAACATAATGTTTTTTTAGCCTACCGTTCTGTAATATCTTTGTTCTGATTTCTCAACAATAAATATTTTTAAATATGTTTTATTTCACATGTAAGAATTTTGTTGGACAGAACATCTTTCTTCCTACTCGAGCTGCATTCATTTTTCACTCATAAATAAATAAATATTGTGAGATAAGTACACTCTTTGGCAATGCATGCTATTAAAATCTAAAGAATAAAAAACAAGGCATCAACTAAACTCGTGCACAAGAACCGTTCGTGTATCAATATTCATCAAAACGAATCACAAGATCTAAGTGAAAAACTGTTACAGTAACTGACAGTGGAAACACAGATGACATTAAAAGTCGATATGATTGTTAATGGAATATACAAGGATATAATCCCTGTTGCTAAGTATATCATTTTAATTTTCTAAAATTTGACACAGAGAAAAAACACAATTTGTCGTCTATATAAAGAAAAATATACGCACATAGTGCAACAAATTTTATCTATTTTGAAATGTGCACACATACGAACAGTAAACTAAAGTTGAGTAAACACCGGGAGAAAAGGTAAAACTGGGTTTTTAACACTTAATCCTTTCTGTCTCACTATCATATACAACGAGCGTATTCGCCGTTATTCTTGACATGAGACCATCAACAAAATCTTCATTGACTGATTTTTTCAATAAAAAAGATTGTTTCAAATGATGTTCCGAATGCTGAAGTTGAGACTCAGGAAGTATCGCCGTCATCAAAATCAATTTTTTAGTTATAACCGGATTCTCTTGATCACAGTAGGCAAATAACACGTTTAATTCATCTTTGGACATACGATCGATATTTCTAAACGAAAGGACATAAATATCAGCTCGGTAAGAACTTTTTTGTACTGTTTTCTGCTGAAAGTTTAGCCGCTTAGCCGACTAGCAATCGGGATTGATGGGCACCTTCAGAATCTACCTACTCCTGCGTTAAATGTATTTTGTTCTATTATGTTTATTGTCTTACCGTAAAATAATTCCATCACTTGTTCCAAGTATTTGTTTAATATTTTCATCTAATTGCAATTTTGTACCATTCAATGTTTCAATATTGACCTCAACATTTTTGACAACAAATTTCTTTGATGGTGACTGTGAATTCAATAATTCAATAATACAATGACCCATAGAAGATGTAAAAGCTTCTAGAAGGCAGAAGACAAGCGTGAACATCAGCACAACTCATTCAAACATTTATTCACTTACGTTGTTCTTTGTTTGATATTAGTAATAACGTGGATACACCTGGTGGATTGATTGGATCTAATAGTGGACGTAGAGCTGCACGAATTGTTGCATCTGAAACTTGATCGCGCCAGGACGAAAGTTCTGTGTTTGATACTGATGTTGATAGGGCGACTACCGCAACTAAACAGAACCGTAGAGATAATAACATCAGCTATTTTTAAACTCATTTTATAATTTTTATTGAGATTTCGATGTTTCGAAAATACAATTTTGATTTTCAAGAAAATAAAAGATAAACAAAATAAAAGATAAACAGATTATACTGTAACATTAAAATCAAAAATATAAGTTCTATCAACATATACATGTGTTTGCATGTAAAAAGAGACAACATCATAGATTGTAGAATAGATAAAGATGCAATTTCCAAGATTATGTCACTCTCTAGAATTTTATATATAAATACATGTATACGTTGATAAAACTTATATTTTTGATTTTAATGTTACAGTATAGTCTGTTTATCTTTTATTTTCTTGGAAATGAAAATCGTATTTTTGAAACATCGAAATCTCAATAAAAATTAAATAATGAGTTTAAAAATAGCTGATGTTCTTATCTCTACAGTTCTAAAATTCTTACCCGCTAATACAATGACTAATATAGTAAGAAATTTTTTTGTATTGGATAAAGGCGATGGTGAATCAGATAATGAAGTATTTTCTTCTAGTTCAGGCTGTTTTCCTCTTCCTTGTCTTACTCTATTCGTTGTTTGATTCTCACTATTGGGCTGGAATGTTGATGTTTGATCATAGCTCGATGGAACGCATGGTGTATCTTCCTCAGTTTCAACAGGAGATGATTTATCAGACTCACTGTCATGAGGTGACTCGTTACCTGGTTTATAATTATTCTGAAACGAGAGAAAAAAATAGCATCTTACATGATCTGAACTACCAATAGATGAATGATGACAGCTGCTGTAACAACTTTAACATTTCAACAAAAATGAGAATGTACATACACAAGCTAAACTAAGTTGAATAGAAGCAAGAACATCATAGACTCATGATTCTCTCTGAAGTTTAATTTATGTGCACAGAAAAGAAAAAGAAATTTTATTCCAAACAGCTAAATATCGGGTTGATGTGTTCAGAATGAACTAATAGTTAAACAACTACAGTCTATACCATTCACAAAGAAGATGATACAAACAATAATAGAAATTTTTAGAAAAAAAGAAAAACTTTACAAACAGTGCTAAGGTTTTTTTAAAAATAAATGCCAAACCAGCTATCTCCAAATACGCTGCAGTAGAAGTCTTTTCTTTCCCTAATAATTATCTCGTATTTACTCACATGTGAAGATTCAGCTTCTGATTGAGTTGGATGTTGCTGTGGTTGTGTTGTATTTGTTTGTTGTCTCCATTTGTTTGGTGAATCTGGATGGTTATAATCAGGTGGGGTTTGGGGTATCATAGTAGAAAAGGATAAAATCTAAAAGTAAACAAACAAATCATAGCGTATTATATCGAATCTCGTTCAACTGTGCTAATTAACTGTAGTAACTAACTACTAGTGATTTCTTGCGAAACTGGTATGATATGAGAACTGACGGATTGTTGTATGATTAAAAAATGCAATCATTAGCAGATGCATACTTAGGTTACTTAAACGAAATTTATTGGATGAATCTATTTTAAATAAACTTCCCATTTAAAAATTTTATTTAATTTAATAAAGTTCATTCAATAAATTTCGTTTTAGGTAACATATTTAAAGTGCATAATCTGTTATACAAACGATGAGTCATCAATGTCAGTGCAAATACCACTAGTTCAATTTTTTTGTGACACAATAAGCACACTTTCACACTTCATTAATTTCTTTACTTTCAGAGACACTTAACTTAAGAATCTGCCGTTTTCTTCTATCAGATTTTATCATATTTTTCTAAGAAAAATGAATTCTTTTGAAACATATTAATAAAGAAATCGATGATAAAAGTGGTGAATGCAAATCCGATACCACATAGTTCGAGAAATTTTTTTGTAAACTTTTATACGAACTCATGCGTACTACTGCATACAGAGTGTACACATCTGTCAGAAGAAAAACAAGAGAACAGCCTATTCGTAAAACATACACTAGCAAAAAAAACTTTCTGGGGCCTGTTTCTTAAAAAAACTTAAGTAGAAAATCTGGCTTAAGTCAAACTTAAGTCCAAAAAAGTCTTTGTCTTTTTTGATTTAAGTAAGATTTTCTACTTAAGTTTTTTTAAGAAACAGGCCCCTGGTCATATCTACGTATGTGCTTCCCTCTCTTTGATTAGCTGAAAAGTTCGACTAATAAAATAATTTGTTGTGTTGTGTAAATGTCACTTAAATCAGCAGTAGCGGATTCAGTGTACGTGCGCGTACTTTTAAATTAGAACTGTCATTTTTTTCCTAGAAAGGTATTCTTGAAAATCGATGAATCATGGAGTTAAACACTAACTTAGCGGACTAACTTACTAAACCTGTATCAGTATGTAGAAAAATATTTGATTTATCACTACTATGTTCAATGGTTATGTTACTATCCATTTCAAAAAAGAATGGACTTGATTGCTTTTTGAATAACTTAGGAACGTTGCTAGCTGGCGAGCTCGAGTCTTCACCGTCTATTTGACGACAGTTGGGGGCATCCAGGCATGTAGTCATCATCGGGCTTGCCAAGATCTTTGAGGGATTTTCAGAAGATTTCTGGAAAATCACCCTCGCGCGAGTTAAAGATTTTGATTCTTGTGGGTGGTTACGATTTGCCATACTGTCATCTACAAAACTACGCAAGGCTGAACTCGCTACTTGTTTCGTTCAGGAGCTATAAGAATTTTCTCGAGAGCCCCGATTTCGGTCAGTTGACTTTGAATCACCCTTATTTTTGATTTCAAACCGATCTAAAGTCATCATAACATGATTTTCAAACTATCTGCTCTATACCCAACATAGCGGCAGAATGCTGGAATTAGAAAATCTTGATATAGTGACTTTAGATCGGTTTAAAATCAAAAATAAACATCACCACACGACTCAACATGGTCGATTACCCCTATCTTGACCCATTTTAGGGTGATCCAAGGTCTACTGACCGAAATTAGGGCGCGATGATTACTACATGCCTGGATACCCTCAACTGTCGTCAATTAGACGGCGAAGATTCGAACTCGCCAGATAGTAACGTTCCTAAGTTACTCAAAAAGCAACCAAGGCCATTCTTTTTTGAAATGGATAGTAGTTTTAGTTCGTTCGGTCAAAGAACTCACATAAATGTTAGGGCAAAATGTCGCAAGAGTGTCTCTTTTACCTCTAAGCACTCTATTTCCCCTTTTTTTATCAAATATGAAATCTTAATAGTGTTATTGTTTTCTCTAGCTCATGGACACGTTGAACGAAAATAAAAGATGTATGAGATCAATGATGACACATGGACAAAATTTTTAGTATGAAAGTGGAACAGGTTTCATAAAATAAGAAGCAGTTGCGAAATTAACTTGAGTTAATTTTACCCATACGGGCGCATCAACCAACGTGAAACCTATATCGGCTTGTCCAAGCGTGACGCTGTGACATTTTTGACACAGTAATTTGAGTTTTTCTCAAAAAGTGTAAGAGCTAGAAACTTTATTCTTGTGCCATTCGACGCAACTCGCCATACTCTACTTTTGGTATAAAAATGAAGGTATGTGGTTAAAGACTCGATTTTTAGAACCGTTTTTCGGCGCGTGACGCTGTGACAAAAAAAGGCCCTAAATTCGAATTTCTTCTCATTAAAAGCTAATTTGCTGCGAATTTAGAAGATCTAATAAAAAGCGCCTCGAGCGAAGTTTGTAGAGAAGTAAACGAGCTACTGATTGCTAAAAAGGAATATTTCCAAGAGCTTTCCATCCCTCAATAATTGTGTTTTATCATCGTGACGCTGTGACACACGTTTTTCCCAACAAAGTTTGGAGTACTAAACATTGCTCAAAGGATTTCATTTTCACATCGGACTTAGTTTTAGGCATCTAATATAGACTGACGTGAAAATAAAGCTGAAAAAATGTTTTCTCTTTCTTAGAATTGTGTGAGAATCTCAAAACTTTATTAAAAAGCTTGTTGTTATGTCACGTACTAGAGTCGTGCCATAAGGGAGAAGATCATAGTAAAGGTTATTGTGCAAGAATATATTCAAGATTATTTCGCAGAGTCTACTCAACGTTATTGCACAATATTTATTATATAAATAGATCAATTTTATTGTTAAGAAGAGATATCTTTTTTATTTGTAAATAAACGTTAGGTGAGAAAGATCTTAGTTCACCTGGGAACCTAACACTTGTTTTGAGTGTAAATTTCAAAAGAAACATACCATCTTGTAGAGAATCGATTAGTGTGGCCTTCCATTTTTATTAGGAAAAGTGTCTAAGTGAGGAAATTGAAAATACAGTTTTCAAAAAACGTAAAACTGGATTTTTGCTGCCAAAATTTAACTTTAAAAAAATAATAATGTGAGATTCGTAATCAGCGCCAAAAACTGTATCTAGTGATATGTTCCTTTCAGTTCTACTCTAAAATAAGTTTTTCAAAAACTTGATCAGCGAAATCTCGAGTTACGTGGACAAGCCGTATACATGTAAAACAAAGTTTATGCGTAAACATGCATAATCTTCCTATTAGTGTAAATTTAGTTAAAAATGACTCCGTCTCCGTGTAAAAATTCTTTAAAGATGTTTACACGCATAAATGTGTAAAAGTCTTCCATTGGCTGGAACAAATTATTAATTATTGTTCTTAACGCGATAAGGTATGTTATGCTAATACTGCTTTCTAAAAAAATTTTGAAACTGAACGCTGGACTGAAGTAATTATGCAGATCAACCCAGTAACAAAGGAATAATAGAGTTTTTCACCAGGATTGGTGCAAACCAAATTATAATGTGCAATTTAACGGGTGGCGCAGAATAACGGACTACTTTGTTTTTGCTTTAGCTCGGTTAGTTTTGACACGATCGGACCAATTTTTTTGCAAAAAGGTAGCCCTTTCAATTCTCTACAACAACATATCTGAGCGGTTTCTGCAAGGTACAGAATGACTCAACCGTTAAACAAATATAAACCGCAAAGAAAATCATCAACTTTCAAGCTCAAAATGAAAAAGTGTTTCGAATTTTTTTCCGTATTGAAATTCCATCTCGTGTTTCAAAAAAATATATTTTCTAGTGCATCAAAGTGAGCTCTTTCCGATGGACTAAGACATTTTTCCGTTAAAGCGAAACCTCAGGTTGTATATCCGGATTTTCCGAAACACCTCCAAATCCACTTGTGTTATGTTTTCGCCGAGACTGAGCGGAAACTAAATTTTGTGTCGCTATAATAAGTCTGTTAGTCAATTTTAGAGCTTCCAAACAAAAAAAATTCAGCAAAAAACAACGTTTTTTGACTGAACGGCACGCGTTTTTCTGAAAACGTCAGAACAGGGAAACGAAAGTAGGGTTTTGTGGGAAAAGGCCAAAAAAGTAATTCCTGATTTCTGACTAAGGATTAAATTGAAATTCTTTTAACGATATGATTCTTGTTCAGAATTCGATGCTCTTTAACGTGCTGAACTCAGATTTTGAGTAACTCATCATACAAAAATAAAATTTTGAAAAAACCGATTTTTGAGCTTGAAAGTTGATGATTTTCTTTGCGGTTTATATTTGTTTAACGGTTGAGTCATTCTATACTTTGCAGAAACCGCTCAGATATGTTGTTGTAGACAATTCAAAGGGCTACCTTTTTTGCAAAAAGCTTGGTCCGATCGAATCAAAACTAACCGAGCTAGAGCAAAAACAAAATAGTCCGTTTTATTCTGCGCCACCTGTTATTATGTATTGTTTAACTGAATATCAGTTGTGCATGCCTGTTCTTGTCAAAGACTCTCTGTTAATGCTTTATGACAATCAATATTTTGATTTCACGTTTCTTTCAGATTATATCACAGGTCGATCTTCCTGTGCCTGCATGATGGGCCCAGCTGGTGCGTTGCAGTCGACTGCAACGCACCAGTCGTTATCCTGTAGGATACTCCATGCAGTTAGGTGAGCTTTTTTATGCCCCATTAAGGTGGTCCCACATTTTTTTGTACTCACTAGTCAAAAGAGAATGAGATTTTTTATAGAGAGCACAATACCTAAATTTTTCAAAAAAAAGATTAAAAATGATCCTTTATGATTATTCCACTTAGAAACATTTGCGAGAATTTAAGATCAAAAAGATGGCGTAATTCTGGTGGAGCTCTTGAATTCTAGTTTTACTGGAAGTCTGACAGCACCGTTGTACATAGCTGTAGTTCTTGATCGCACCATGTTTTACTCGGACTTTTCTTCAAGAACATGATGCGACTTTTTGAAGTTTACATTGATCTTACGATGCGTTCAGTACTTCACAATTTCTATCTAAAAAACATTTTTACTGAAGAACTAATACGAAATTAAAGTGAGTACACGCAAAAATTTTGAAGATCAAGTTCCTCCTTTAAATCCTTCGGGCATATTTCTATCGCGATGTTCAACTATCTTCTTTACTCTATTTCTGAAAAGTTAATCATGAGCTTGATAACTTTAGTGGAAGAAATTTTCATTTCGAATGAAGTTTTCTGTCCCCTATGATTCAAAATCTGGCATCAAAATAAAGGTGAGAGAGGCTGATGTCTTATGATTTTAACGTGAGCCTTACCAATAAGGTAACGTTTGCCGTATGTGAAGAAAACATTCAGGCTTGAACTTTCAGAGAATGCGTATTCGTAAATACTAGACGCTAATATTAGTTTGTTGCTAGAGCCAATCTAGCATCCTGTGAATGAGGCGGAATGGCTTAGCCCCAATCCTCTCTGCGTCAAACAGGACCGAAATGATACTCACTACATCCTGAAAGTCATCAACGACAAAGCGGTCTTACACCGAGGATACTCACGACTGCGATGACATCAACCTTTGATGCATTTCTCACTTTGGTGCATTTTTATTTTGAGACCTTGCGAAGTTAACATATTTAGCGAAGTTGTACATAGCAGAAGTCCGTTTTTATACCCAAAATAGTTAAACAAAAAGTCTTCAACTTAATGACAACAAACGTGAAAAGGATCTATGTTTTCATACTCCTTCGTTCATTAAAATTGCTGTGTACTTACTTTGTATATTACTTATTTTTTCATGTGCTTCCCTCTTGAAAAAGTGAAAAAAGCACATATAAACTGCAAAACAGTCGGGCGTAAATATAGTCTGCACACTATGCTAAGAAAATACGAAGTGTCTTGTATATAACGGACACTGGTTTTTTTGTATAGCTATCTCCTTTAAAATGAGAATAACAAAAACACATATCTTCAATCACACACGTGTCTATAGACACATAGTATATACTATTTATGTTATAAATAGAAAGTGGACTATCTATTTGTATACGGAATATAGATTAAATTCTCACTTTGAAATAAGAGAAAAAGAATTCTTTTTCGTTCTTGCAATTCAAAAAGTACCAACTATATCCACTGATAAAATTCCGTGACGTGAGTCGCGTCGCGACTTTTTAAAACTCAGCTAGATTGTCCTGCAATAGCCGCAATTACTGTCGGCATGAGTCGCGTCGCGAAATAGCAATATGATAGTGATTGCGCTACGAAAAACTATACTGAATTCTTAAGAATGGAATCGGTGCAGATTTAGAGTCCTGCCACGAGATCGCGAGTGTGTAGCGATCACGCCATGACTTCGCGAGCATATAGCGATCGCGCTGTGACTATGAAATCGCGATTGGACTCCTACAAAATATTTTTTCTAAAAAACAAGAGTTTACCAAGATCACGATGTGATAATGTGACTTTGTAGCGATCGCGACACGACAGCCATGAGTTTATAGTGATCACGATCGTGACATCGCGACTCAGGCGTGACCGTTGATCTGGGTCACTTTGCAGTGGTGCGTCAGCTGTCCACATTATTTATCACTATATTGTTGCAACTTATTACTGTGGATTCGTAAGACTAGATTGAAACAACGAGGAATATTGCAACGGTCAATTATTTCTTCTCCTAGTTGAGAAGATTATCTTGAACGATCGAAGAATGCAAGAACTAGTTCAGGAGAAAAATCGCTCAAGTTCGTTTGTATATTTCAACAAAAAAGGAATGAATCACTTTGCTGGTTGTATTCGTGTAAGATAATTGGTTGTTACATCTACAAAAGGAAGTTCATTTTGTAACGCTGCTACTTTTATTCAAATCAGTGAGAGTAAGATCATATAGTTTAAGTACAGAATAGCGCTCTTCGAGACTATCAGACGTTTTTCTTCCCGAAAAAAAGTTCATAATCTGAAAGAAAGTATAAATTTTTATCTCTAGATCTCTAGAAGAATTTGAAGAAATCTACTGTAGTTAGAGATGTCTGAATGGTTTTTCCCTCCTAGTATTATCTTTGGGACTTTTCGTTTTCGTTGAGATGCAGCCAGGCTGAACTTTTTACCCGGTAAATCAGTCGACTTAATCATAACAAACAATGTATTAATTTATTTTAGACTAATCAGTAGAGTAGTATTCTGTACAAACCTTGGTTTATAGCATCGTAATCATCTCTGTGTTCTTCTCATGTAAACTACCTAGTGATCTTGATCGTAATTTTTTTATCATCGTATAGATGTCCTTTTTAACAGTTTTGTTAGATTGAAATTCATCTAAAATTTGCTGACAAACTTCTCGTGAATAACCTGATTGAGCTGATGCTGCGCTTTCGTCGTTGTTATGTTCTGCCAATATATTCTCGTTAGATGCATTGTGACTTCGTGATAATCGAAGTGAGACAAAATTTTCTTTCGTATCTTTGCCTTTTACGTGATGTTTAGCTGACAGATATGCACCATGACTGGCCAGCGAAATTGCTTCAAGTGTTCCAACCATGGGTTTTATTGGAACGTTCAGTAATCCGATTCCAGCACCAATCACATAGCCTTTCTTCCCATGCCTTTTAGCTTCTTCTTTTGGCTTTTTGTACCAGTCTGTTGCCCCTTCTATAAAACTATTTTGAACAAGCTTTTTTGCCGCTTTCACGCCCGTTGACATATCGCTTACCACAGGGCGTTGTGGTGTATAATTGCAATCGTACAACGATGGAACTTTATTCACTAAATGAGAAGTTTCACCGTACAACGATAGAATCCCTTTTGATGAGTGAAACAAGCCACCTCCAACGCCTTTCAAAAGACCTTTTCCAATCGCTACTGTTCCTGACAATGGATTACTTGCATTCCAGGCAGTCTCAAAACCATCTGCCGTTTCCGAAGTCAAAGTTGACACAGCTTTTTTAGCTCCTTTCACCAAACCGTATGTGGGCACATGTGCATGTGAATCTTCATTAATTTCCCACTGTTTGACAGGATAGAATTCCAAATCGGTTTCTTCAATTACTGCAGATGCCACCAGTACTTGAGCTACAGGTCGAGAAATCTTCATGTCATATTTTGGGAGAGAGAAACATGCAGGAAATGTAGTTTCTAAATCGCTCAACATCCTTTCCAACGGAAGATTGACATGAAAAGATCTTACTGCTGCAGCAACGCCATTTTCCCTTTTCATTTTTGATGCTATTTCTTCAGCAGCAGTACATGTTTCGTGTTTGAGTGAAAACCGAATAGCATCTGCAAGTTGATATGCTGTAAGATTTTTTCCAGGTAAAGGCAAAGGACCGGCATTGATTTTATGTACAACAGAACCCCAAAAAAACTGATCCCCAAAGAATGGAACGATAATAGTGGGTTTTCCATATCTAAGACCGGCAGCCGTGGTACCGGCACCACCATGGTGACACACAGCAGTGACCTGTGGAAACAACCAGTCGTGCGGACACTGATCGAGAAGATAAATCTTCTCAGATACTTCAATTCCATCTCCCATTCTGCCCCACCCTTTTGATATTACCGCTTTGCAATTAACAAGTTTAACCGCTTCTAGAACAGCCTTGGTCAAACGTGCAGAATTATCAGGCACGATACTTCCAAAACCAATATAAATAACAGGTGAATCTGATTTAAGAAATTGGACAAGGTCGTCAGGTGGACTATAATTCGTGGTAGTGTCTAAGAAAAAGAAACCACTCACATCTATATACTCTTTCCAGTCTTTCGGTTTTCCTAGTAATGCTGGACTCCAGCAATATGTATGAGGAACTTGTTTAGTTGTCATTAGATGGATCGCCTGCGATGTTGATAATGTTTCGAGTTCCAGCGTTTTTTTACGAAAATCGTTTATTAAATGTTTCATTCCGGACCATGTAATGACTTCAACTATCTCGTATGACAAATAATTTATTTTTGAGATGTGCTCTTTGTTATAACTAATATTGGCAAGTGGATGCGGAAATGCTCCCGTTGGACTCCAAGGCATCGTAAAACAGATATGTAGAGGAATACAGAGTTTTTGTGCACAATGAATGTGTCCGAATGTCGGTGGATTTGAAATAATAGCTTCAGCGATAAACGGGTGGTTCGTCTCGTCATCTGGCTCGATGCAAGCTTTAAAAGTTGAATCGAGAATTTCAACTAGTTGCTCTTTCGTTCTAGAAACATCACCTTCCAATATACTGCCGAATGACGGTATAATTCCTTCATTTTTAACTGCATATTCCATCAATTCTTTTGGATCACCACGTAATGGATAAAATTCTAGACCGTTTTCTCGAACAAATTTTCGAAATGTTTCGTGTGTAGCAAGGCGCACTCGATGTCCAGCTTTCATTAATTCTTTTCCGAATGCAACAAATGGTTGTACATCACCTTGGCTACCAACAATCATGATACAAATGGCTAAACGAGGTATTTCTTGACCGAGCGTCAAGTTATCAGTGCTATCAAGACCTTCACCATATATAAGTGTCTCATCCTGCGGTTGAAATTCTGTTGATGGTAAACCGTGAAAATTTTTACACGTATTTTCATTAATATGAAGATCAATTCTACCCTCATGTGTCAGATTAGCATCATACTGTGGCTTTTCATTCATAGGGGTTTCTTGGGATAATTCATCAGCACTTGACTCTTTTTCTGGTGATAGTGAGAAAGTGTATGCAATCGCTGGTGGTATTTTCCGATTATTACGTCGTTCTATTATTCGATTAGCTGGAGAATACGTTCCGTGATGCATTATTTTACTTTGTAATGATTGTAAATGCTTAAAAATAATCGTTGCAATTATTTCGGAAATTTATATCTAAATACAATAGATTCTCACACCAAATGGTTATTGAGTGCAGATATTTTTCGTTGTAACTTCTTGATCTTTAATGAAACAACGATTTGTACTCGTGTACAAATCTCACGATATTTAATCTTATGCAAGTCTATATTTATATTTACTGAGCAATCTATGAACAAAATATTGATTTTTTCGTCATTAACTGCTTCAAGTTACACAATATGTATATCATTCAATGCTATCAATATGCACTTAGACACAATATCACATGACTAACGTGAACGCAAACACATTGATGTTTTTTTCTATTATTTTATCCTTGCCTGTATATATAATATATATACAGCTATTACGAACGTATTTATCAAGAGAACGCAAAGCAAATAAATACTATGGAGTATGTATGAAAAAGGTAAGAACATTGAATGTATATGATTCGTTTAACGAATAACGATTAGTCCAAGAATTTAATTTAAAATTTGCTGTGCTTTTCACTATATATGTACTATATTGAACTGCTTAAAAAAATTGAATGAATTCAGAGGTTCGTGTCAGCTTATATAATACAATACTATCTCAGTGGAATGACTGAATCTAATAATATAGCCAATACTATAGTGCACTTAATCAGTGGTCATGTGTTATCATAGTAACTGTAGTCACTTCGTTCTATCGACTTATTTATTTAATATAAGAGTACGGTCTCTGTTTAATATTAGCCCGTTTTGTCAACTGACTGACAATCTTTCTTCTTTCCATATTATACGAAGATGTTTGATTATATTATACATCATTATCACATAGATCATATCTCAAATGAATAGTGCAACCAAAGATGTTCTGGCTGGTAGTGGAGGTGGTTTAGTTTCGATTCTTGTTTCCCATCCATTGAACACAGTTATCATTCAATTAAGAACAAATCCTGATACATACAAGAGTGCATTGCATTGTGCTCGAAGTATTTGGAATAAACAGGGTATACTTGGCTATTATAAAAATAAGGATATACCAATGGTTAGCCCAGCTATTATCATGAGTGAACAGTTCTTCTTTTATGGACAATTGAAACGATGGTTAGGAATTAAAGAGATTGATGACAATTATGAAATATCAAGGTGTTTTCTAGCTGGTGCATTAACAGGATGTATCTCATCCTTTATTGAAACTCCACTAGAACTGATTCATTGTCAAATACAAAGACAGATAAAACAACATACTCACGTATTCGATCCAAATGTTCTTGATGGTATGAAATATATTTTGAACACAAATGGATTATTTGGATTTTATCGGGGTTTTACGGCAACTATAATTCGAAGCGTACCGGCCTGCATGTTTTTTTTTGGTGGATATGAATGGACAAAACGTAAACTTTATACTAATACGTCATCTGACTGGTACAGCGGTACAAAGGAGTATCATTTTCGTTTAACGACACTTTTAGGTGGTGCTTGCGGAGGATTAGCATGCTGGTTTTCCTGTTACCCATTTGATGTAATTAAATCGGCCATTCAGACAGATGACATTCGACGAGAACATCGGAAATACACTTCCTATATGGACTGTGTGAAACAGTTGTACCAGGATGGCGGAATAAAAATCTTTTTTAGAGGCTTTGTACCAATAGTGTTGAGAACAATACCGGTTAGTGCTGCTTGTTTTCTTGCTTATGAAGAAATATATAGAGTGTTAGAATAGTTTTGGAAATCGTTAGAGAAACAAGTTGTATACAGTAGATCAGTCTTATAACAATATCCCAAGTTTAACAACAGAGAATTTTCATATAGACAGGCCAAGACTGAACTGTATGATACTGTAATAGCTCTGCGGCTTACATAAACCTTCATCCAAACAGACTTTTTTGTTTTATCATCACGCTTCTTTTCCTTAAAAAAACGTTTTTTACTACCGGTTGAGTTCGCGACATCATCAAATAACCTAAAATGTGTTCTTTTGGAAAATATATATCTTACCACCAAAATTTAAAGTCTCTCCATAATCAACAAGAAATGTTCACTTGACGACAATTTCTATAATGGGTCATAAAAAAACTTTGTTTAGCCTCCTTACTGCTAATTTTTTCTAAAACCACGAATAATCGACCATTTAGATGCTATTAGTAGACGATCCTGCTGACATTTCCAAAAACGCCGACTCACCTAAACAGACATGCAAACTCAAAAATCGAATATTTCGAAACTTTAACTTGATTTTCATTTTTTTCGTGAAAATCTCGATGATTTTTCAACGTGAAAATTTGAAAAAATTTAAAGTAATCGGACAAGATAGATATGCACATCTGTCGATTCGACTTCTACTTGAAATGATAATTCGAACAGACCAAAAGAACATTCTTTACCTCTCTCTGCCTTGTTGAAGGGAAAAAAATATTCATCTATAGAAAAGCTGTCGCATTCGATTGTGGCAATATTATGGCTAGGCTTGCACCAGTTCCAATCTTAGGCTTGGAGGATTGGTACCAGTTAAGCTTCGTATCAATCCCACCAATCCACTGTGGGCATTTTTTGTCAGAGCAGGCTTTATGAGTGCACTAAAATTTCATGAACCATTTTTTTATAGGTTTTTCATGATCCTCTTTCTAATGGCATGAGAGTTGGATTTTGAAAAAGTTTTCAAAAGAGTTTTCCAGAGATCCGGCGTCTGGAAAACCCTTCAGAAAACTTTCTCAATATTTAAAAACGATGCCACTGGAAAGAGCATTGTCGAAAACCTATAAGAAACATGTTTCGAGTCGTTCAGGTTACTTTATCTTGAAATTCAAATTTTCAGCACGAAATTGTTTGTGTTAAGCTCAAAAACTAAGAAATTTCTAGGATTCAAAATCGAGCGACTGAAACTAGATAAGTTATACACCATTCGATGCAGTTTTTCACGCTGATTCCGAATATGGTATTATATATGAAGAAAAGTGTATATATAAGAGAGAAAACCACGAAGTACGTCAAAAACCGTATGGGCTTTGAAAATTCGATATTTCGACTTTAAAAAAAAGTGGAATGAACCGTAGATAGTGTACATTCAGGGGAACATTTTGGTGTATTTTGATGTGACTTTGGAGTGGGACCAACGGGGGCCAGTCGACTGTACTAAGGTTGTGTCATGGTCAACTGAACGATGAAGAATTCAAGAGCTGTTACATAATGAATTTGCGAATGAAGTATATATATTTTGGTATCAGTAGACACCTGAGAACATGCTGGTTCCGAATATGTAATTTGAAAATGCGTTACATATCTGAGCGAGCAACGAATCATGGTTTATCATGGTTTAGTTCGTACAAATGATGTTTTGGGACCTTTCTTTGTGGCCCGATTTCTCCATGAAGGAGTGAAAATCACAATAGACATTTATACACCATTCGATAGAGAATTTCAAGGGCTATATTTTGCACTATTTTGTTTTCGAAAAGAAACAAAGTCACTTTTCCGCCTAATGTCCGCCTGGATGCCCACTGTGAGGCATGGACCGCCGATTGAGCATAGGTAAACAAATCAATATTTAAAGTGTATGTTGTTCGACTTGTACCAATTGTCGCTTACTAGAGAGCACACATCAATGGAAACGAAAGAATCAGAACTCCAATTCTTTTTTTTCTTCTGTGAGTCATTTAAGCACTTCTTTTTTGCTGAAAAGTTTCCATTTTGAGCTGGACATAGTCTAATGTAGAGGAAAGTCTGATCTATAAAATGAGACCACTCCCAGCTTTCCATGGCCTTCCTTGAAAAAATTATGAAGTTTTAAGTTTTTCCTTCAAAGCCTAGGAAATCTCAATTTTTTAGGTTCGTAAAATTTTCTCTCCTTTCCTATATAGTCAAAATTTTTTCTTATATACAGCATGATAGAAGATAGTGTGCTCTTTAAAATGAGATGTTTTCCAGAACTTTCCGATGAATTTTTTTTGGAGATATAAGCATAGCCGCAAATGCCCTGAAAAACAGAGCCGTATGTAGAATGTACTTTTCTCACTATGCGTTTTTTCGATAGTCTCTTCAATTGGCACACATTACGACTCCTCAAAAAAATGGTCCGATCGAGCTCAAACTTTTACTACAGATACTGCAGACCCTATCTCAGGTTCGTTTTTTTAAAACGTTTTTGATTTTAACTTTCGGCATGAGAAGGCTTTCGAAATGAAAAACCGGTTTTTTATACAGGACTTCAGTATTTTTTGAATATCTCGAGAATATTTGGGAAAGAATATTTTTCGAAAAGAAAAATTTACATCCTAAGAAAGGGTCTAACGTATCCGTGGTAAAATTTTGAGCTCGATCAGACCATTTTTTCGAGGGGTCGTAATGTGACCCGATGAAAACTGGAGTTTTCTAGAAAACCCATAGAAGAGCACGTCAGAAAATTCTGAGAAAGGAAATACATCGATTTTCTCTTTTGATATTCCATCTCTGGTATAAATTTGAATACAATCCGACATCGGCTTTCCCGATTTCCAAGAGGATAAAAAACGAGGGGGGTACTCTTAACTAGAGAAAATAGAGAGTCTACAGGTAACCAACAAAACTGTGTTTCAAATTTTATTCATCTACCCACATATCACATTTTATCATTTTTATCTTCTACCACATATCACATGAATCACATGATCATGAATCACATGATCATGAATCACATGACCATGAATCACACGACCATGAATCACGTGACCATGGATCACGTGACCATTAATTATCTCGTAGGAAAAACGATAGAATTGTTTTAAACATATACTCATTTTGTGGCACTAACCGTAGGATAACTAAAGCATATATCGGACAACTAACTTGAGATGTGCATCTATAGCTTCTCTACTTTCGAATCATCTTTTCCCGAAATCTGTACTGTTTTTCGACTCGTTTGAAAAGCGTAGAAGCCGATGATCAGGGTGGAAATTATACCAGAGATAGAACATCGAAAAAGAAAATCGATGTATTTTTGCCCCGGATTTTCTGACATGTTCTGCTATAGGTTTTCTGGAAAATTCCAGTTTCCATCGGGTCACATGACGACTCCTCGGAAAAATGGTCTGATCGAGATGAAAATTTTACCACAGATACTTTAGACCCTATCTCAGGTTCTTTTTTTTTCTTTTCAAAAAATATGCTCTCCTTCTCGAGATATCAGAAAAACGCTGAAAATCAAATTGGAGTTTTCCAGAAAACCCATAGCAGAACATGTCAGAAAATTCTGGGAAACAATACATCGATTTTCTTGTTCGATGTTGTATCTTTGGTATAATTTTCACCCCGATCAAACATCGACTTCCACAGATGTCAAATAGCATCGCTAACTGTTAAACCAATCTAAAAACAAATTCTCTCTATGGAATATTCTTCTGATCACTATTATTTTTTGACTGTTCTTGAGCTAATTTCTGTTTTTTATTTGACTGTACATGAGCAGTATGTTTTCGTTTCTGCTGAATTTTTGATACTTCTTTCATTACTTTTGTTATTTCTTGACTAATCAATGTTGACTTCTCATTTCCAACAGTAATTAAGGCATGTGCCACTTGTGCAGCCGATAAATCTGCTCTTTTTACCGAATTTTGATTTCTTCGCACCTTGCTTTTAGCACCGTCTCACAGGGACTTCATCTACTGTTTTCTGTAATTACAAGTGATCGAATTTTGTTTCATATGGCGGCATTGATAAAAAAATATATCTGAAACTACTTTCGATCTAAAAATAGCGTAAATCCCAGAAAAAGAGGAGAAACCGCTCAAAAAGGGTAGAAAGAGGAGGAGTCTTCGATTAAAGAGGGATAAAGAGGAAAATAGGAGTATTACGGTGCCAGGGGAGGGTACTCTTAATTTGATGTACAGACTACCAATGGCCCTAGTCACATGGGCTACCATATGCGTGACGTGATCAGTGACGAAGCATCATTTTTAGATTTTAAGGCTATTTTTGAAATATCTTTTCTAAACGGGAGGACAAACTTTTTGGATATCTTTGCGTCGTCATGTAGTCAAGTAGTTACTGTATTGGAGTATACAAAGAGAAATTTAGAATTTTCAAGTTCAGAGGCAAAAACCGGATTTTCGCACATTAAAACTCGGTTTTCGCCCATAAAAAAACTTTTTCATCAAAAACTAATATCATACTCATGGTAAGCGTCAAGAACTGCGTTTAGTGATGTGTCATTCGAACTTTTAGCAAAACTTTTGCTTTCACTTAAAAAAATGCCTTTCGCTCCTTCTCAGGTATTTAGTGAGTAGACGTATTGAACGTTATTTTTAGATATTCAAAAAATGTTTGTCTTACCGCGCAGAAAAGGTATTTTAAAAATAGCTCTGAAATCCAAAAATGCCGACTAATCACGTGACACATGGTGGCGCATGTGACTAGGGTCATT